AACTATGTCGGTGACCCTAGGCTCTGAAACAAATTTATCATAACGTAAAATCTTAGGTCATGATGACATGTACTATTATCCCACCAGTAGGTAAGCAAAACACATAGCCTGAAACCAGAGGTAATGGGCTATCACGGGGAAGAGAAGAATGCTAATAGAAAAGAACAAATACTAGAAGTAAGAGAGGAAGAGAGAATCAAAATATATAATCAAACATCCTCAGAACCTGGTATCAGTCGGTAGTCGAATTACTAATCAAAACAGAAGTACAAGGTCAATGCAAATATATATAGAAGTCTTCGAATACAAGGTAAAGATTAGTCCATCCAAATTGAAGGAAATGGAAAACTCTATATGCCAGGAGCTAACCCCAAGTCTTCGATCCACAACTTCTTTGCACAAGGTGCGTGTCAACGAGGAGAACTCATATTATTATATATGGGGTACAAAAGTTTAGTATGAGTGCCAAGCAAGTGGCACTCAATAGGCATCAGATGACTAAGCTCCAATGTAAATGCAAGCATAAACAACATGTAAAAAAGGAGTATGAACGCAATGGATGTCATCACCATCACCAATATACAAACAATGAGTATCTAATCAACCAAATGTACATAATTGGAATTGTTGTGCTCCCAGAGCATAGTAAACTAACCTGGAATCCAACTGGTCCTCGACCAAGGCCTCGGGCCCTACAATATATCAATATACACAACAAAAATATCATAATTGATCACTATTACTCATGCAACGAAGAACCAAATATGAAGAATCAACAACTAGAAGAGTAACTCAAGCATTTCAAACAGAACCCAAATCCCTACAACAAACATCGTAAGTTAATCACAATGCCAAAAGCTAACATTTCATCCTGAAATACGAAATATAGTCCACAAGTAAATTTCCATTCTCTCTCCGGGGCTAATGTTTAGAAAACGTCAACGAATGCCAAAACTCATAATCCAAATCAAAAGTCTAACATCACGAGCAATTGGTACAACTGGTGAGGAACAAATGCAAAACCAAGGCATAAAAAAGAGTCATCGCAAATGAGAGTAGTCCTGCTTTGTAACATAGAACATGCTCACATCTCAAATTTCGAATAACGATAGCAAAACACCATCATAAAGGACAAATCAAGTAGGCTGAAATAGAATAACCTCAACTTTGCAACCTTAGAAACTTAGAATAGTATTTAGGTAAAGGTAAGAATCAATGAGCTGGAACTGTAGCAAAACCATAAAAGGCTAAACCTTCTTTCACACGACGCTCTCATCAACTAACAGAAAGACGATGAGCAATGAAAGTAGTTGTCTAATACAAGCGAACCATAATATCATAAACCAATACTAACCAATTAATACTAGTCTAAGTCGTCTATCAAGCAAGGTTGGACAACTATAGCAACAGTATGTAGTAAAGGTGGCAAAAGAAAAAGTTAACCAACACAACTATATGATCATAATAAAGCCACATAGTCGAAAGATATTGGGAGTTACTCAACCACTACTCCCAAAATACAAACAATGTCAAGGCAATCCACTACTAAAGGAAATCATCTATGGGGGATAAACACATACACATAACCCCAAATAAGGATTTCACAATGACCAGAAGATAGACAACAAAGTAAGCAGGCACACATGGGTATGAAAACCCCAAATCAACACAACATAAGAATAAAGGATAAAAGAATAAAGTCACACCTATACCAGAGATATTTTGAGCCTCGGCCCTAGGCGTGCTTGTTGAAGTACACAACTGCTTGTGTATGATCCCAAGTTGTGCATCTGAACTACCACCTGCAATACTAAGGGCACCACTCCTGAATCTTCCACAATACCAAGAGACTAAACTAACAACTCCTGACTGAATCTTCCACACTCCCAAGAGATTAAACTAACTAAGTTGATTGCACCATGGTCCCACGTCGGGGACACTCTCTAGACAAGTGGCTAATCTCCCCACAATCATATCAACCCATATGGGCTAAGGTCCGGTGTGAAGAATGTGATGAGCTGCCTTGGCTACCTCTTCCAGAAGGAGGACCATCTCCAACACCCTAGGGGACCACTCCGATGACTGAACTATCCGTCTCAGCAAGTCATAAATGACTTGGAGCCGCTACAAAAAAGGTATTAACGCAAACGTTAGAAAACGAAGAAAATGACCTACAGGGTTATTACAAAAAGTGTCCATAACGAAATATGAATGAATCGTATTGCTTTGGACAATCTTTGAATTTATCATTGTCTATTAAGAATACACTATCATTTAATATACTATAACTTCATAAACAAACTAAAAATATAAAAAATTACTTCAATTCAAAGAAAATTTACCTCAGCAATAATCAACACTATTGGGACTTCACGTTAAAGAATCTAAAATATCAGATTCTTTTATAAAATTGTTCATCTCTTTTTTATTGTAAACATTTTTTAATTTCAAATTCAAGTAAATTAATATAAGTAACATTAATTGGTAAAAGAATTCTAAACCTAATGTTATATAATATTGAATTCTAAACCATTTTTTTTCTATGTAGTCTGTGCCACTTTGATGAAAGAATTCTAATTGAACACTAAATCTAAACAAAGAAAGACACAAAGCTAGTGATTATTATTACTAAACCTAAAAAGGAATTTTAAACCTACACAAGTCACAATGTTATTGATATTTATTACTCCGAAAAAAGGAATGCTAAAAATTTACTGTCTCCGTCCACTTTTAGTTGTCATATTTTTCGTTTTTAGTGTCAAACTATAATAACTTTGACTAACATTTTACGATGTATTTTTTCATTATATTAATATGTAAAAAATTGCAAATTATAATACTTTTCGTATGGTTTTTGAATATCTAAATGTTTTGGTTAAAATACCTAATTAATCTAATCCAATTTAACTTTGAAAATTAGTCAATTTGACTTTCGAAAAAATACAACATGACAAATAAAAGTGGACAGAGGGAGTATTGAACTAATTTTAAAAAATAATAACTGACAATTTCATCTATTCTAGAGTTTTTTAACAAAAACAAAAATTTTAATCAATATTTCTAAAGTATGTTATTATTATTGTTGATTTATTTAAATAAAATAATACACGAACTTATGATCAAGCAAGTTCAACCGTTATATAATATATAGTAGATATAGATATAAAGATATAAATAAATGATTTACAGTTTACTTATTAATGCACTTAATGAATAAATTTTAATTTTAAAATGATCATTGGATGATAACTTTAAACTCCCCAATTTTGTCTTACCAGTGACTTTTTGACATGATTGTTTGCATCTTTATGCTCCATTCGTTACTAGTTATATGTCGTTTTTATTAAAAATAAATATTATTTAATACTTGTCATTTTCACAAAATCAATACATAAGTAACATTATTATTTCTATATTATATTTGAGAGTTATTAGAAAGTATGAATTTGACCAACATAAGAAAATTAAATGATTAATTTATGTTTATTGGTTAATTTAATTAATAAAATAAATTAATTTATATTCATTTATTGAAAACATGACTTCAAGGTAACACTAAATAAGGATACAATGTTAAACTTAGATAATTTCTTAAGAAATGTAAAATTGAAAATAATGACATATAAATAGAAATCAAGAGAGTGTTATCCATGTTCGGATGTCGGTGTCGGTGCGGGTGTGTGTGGGGTTGGGAGTCTCTTTGTGCCTTTACTTTTCAACTGCGTGACTCCAAAATAATGCAAGGAAAGATGAGCAGAGTCACTAACATAAAGATAGTCAACCTTGGCGGTTAGACTATTTCAGCCAATGTTTTCTATTTGTCCAACTTGTATTTTTTATGTTAGTGATGAGAAGTAGTCGTGGAGCTAGAAATTTCATGAAGAGTATTTAAAAGCTCAAGTGAATTTGTTCTTTTTAGAAAGTGAAAAAAAAATTGTTATTAGTAAGATTCAAACAAACGAACATTTTAACTTTGTGGGTCTTTATTCTTTTAAGGTGTCTAAAAGCCTACATCATATTGTTATTTCAAGAGTGCCCAAAATAAGTTATTTAGTCATTTTGTTTATCATTTTACTTGTATATATGGTATAATTTTACTACGAAGGATTGGACACCTGACATAAGAATAGCTATGCCACTGGTGAGAAGGCAGATATTTTCGAGCCATGTGTCACTAAGATAAATATGGCACTATCACCATCTCCAATCCAATATTATTTTTTACATCAAATTCTATTTTGATGTAAAATTTAGTGTTTAGGGGCCCCAATCAAACACTATTTTAGTGTGTGAATAGTGCTACATCAAATTTGATGTAATACTATTCATCAACACTAAATAACTTTTTCACTATTTAATTGTTATTTGTATTATATAATATTTTTAAAATATAAATGAAATAAAAACAATGATATAATATTGAAGAGGAAGAAGAATATAAAGAAAATAATGTTTTTTAAGTGTAAAATTTAATGTAGTGAATTAGAGTTGAATTACACTAAAATGATGTTGACACTATTTTAGTGTAAAATTTGATGTTAGACCATCTCGAATCCAACCAACACCAAATCTTGTTTTGATATAAAATTTGATATTTTTGGGGTTCGACTAAACACTATTATAGTGGGTAAATAATGTCACGTCAAATTTAATAGGACACTATAGTCTATTCACAGTAACGTTCACATTTTTTTTGACAGTAGAAAGATATGTATTATTAATTAGAAAAGGAAATGATGACTATAGAGCTTCTTTGACTTTTCTTTAAGACTACAATACAACGTGGCAATAATTGCACATTGGCCTACTCCAAGACTTCACAAGTCAAGACTGCACATTTCCTCTCCCGTCTTAGTGTTACTCTTTTGATTTCAAACTTATATTTTGTTGCTCTTTTGAAAATTAAATTCATTATTTTTTTGCTCTTTTGACTCGAAACTCCAATAATAACTGCACATTGGCCTACTCCAAGACTCAGTATTATTGGGCTTTTATTGTCCAGTTTCGCTGCAATTTCTTTGATGGTTGACAGACTATTCCGCTTCAAAATGTTTGTTTATCGCACTTGTAATTCTAACAATCAATTGAACATGTTTCTCTCTCAGTTATTCATTCTCTTATTGTGTATTCAAACAATCATCATATCTACTGCAACTAACATTCATGAAAACGTTGCCATATCATGTGGTGCCTCTGGCAATTACCCTGCACCAGATGGACGATTATGGATTGGAGATTCAACTTTCACTTCCTCATTTCTACACTTAACTGGAAAATCTATTAATTCAAGAGCACCTCACCAAGCTGCCTTGTCCGATCCAGTTCCTTATAACTCTGCTCGATCGTCTCGCCATCAGTTTACCTACAAATTTTCAGTGAAACCGGGACACAAGCTCATACGCCTGCACTTCAAACCAGCTTTATACAATGGTTTCTACAAGTCCAAAGCCATTTTTACTGTCAAAACTGATCAGCATACCCTGCTCAGTGACTTCATACCTACCCTTGCTGCAGGTATGAACTATTTCAAAAAGGAATTTTGCATCAATGTACAAGAAAGTGAAACATTAAGCATAACATTCATACCATCTCGAAAATCAAGCTTTTCAGAAGACACTTATGCTTTTGTTAATGCAATCGAGATTGTTTCCATGCCCACTGGTCTGTATTTCACACCTGATGGCGATCAGGGAGTCCCTGTTGTTCGACGAAATTACAGATTCTACATTGACAACAGCACAGCACTGGAGACAATTCAGCGAATAAATGTTGGCGGAAACTCTATTTCATCCTTGGAAGATGCAACCATGTTCCGGGAATGGGAAGATGACACTAATTACCTGATTCAAGTAGGAGCCTTTTCGATCAACAGAGCCATTGATATCAGATATGCATCCTCAGCAACTCACGTTGCACCAAAAGAAGTTTACCTGGCGGCCAGGTCAGTGGGTGCGCACTGCCATTTGAATTTCTGTAATCTCACATGGAACATTCCACTTGATTTGGGATTCAGATACCTTGTTAGGCTTCACTTTTGTGAAATTGAACCTATGATCACATATGAGGGCCAAAGGAATTTCACTATTGTTATAAACAATCAGAATGCTGAAGATGATGCTAATGTGATCAAATGGAGTGGGGGGAATGGAATTTCTGTATACAGGGACTATGTTGCCATTATGGAGGGTGATAGAAGGGAAGGGAAGCGTAACCTTACTATAGTTTTGCAGCCAAAGTTTCCTTCAATCAGTAAACATGCTAATGCCATCTTAAATGGGATAGAAGTCTTCAAGATAAGCAATCCTGACAACAATCTTGGTAGTGTGAGCCCTGTGCATCCTGCTACTAGTTCAACACCAGAAAAATCAGAGGAATCTGTGCTGTTCTATACAAAGAATCAAATTGCAACTGTACTGACATTTATGGTCACTTTGGTCAATGTTGCTGTTTATTACATTAGGTGTATTTCAGAGATGAACTCTGGAAAGACGAACAATAGAATATCTTCAGGAGAGCATCAGTGTCGTCAATTCTCATTGGATGAGATGGAAAGATCAACGAACAATTTTGATCCTCAGCTTGTCATTGGTAGCGGTGGATATGGCCCAGTATATAAAGGAGATATTGATGGTGGAAAAACCACTGTAGCAGTTAAGCGATTGAAACGAGGATCTAGCCAGGGGGAGAAAGAGTTTTGGATGGAAATCAATATGTTATCTACGCACCGCCATGAGAACCTTCTCTCCCTAATTGGTTACTGCACTGAAGGTCATGAGATGTTATTAGTTTATGATTATATGCCTCGGGGATCACTTGCTGACAACCTCTACAAAATGGACAGAAATAGCTCATCTCTCTCTTGGGAACGGAGACTCAAGATTGCTATAGGTGCTGCACGTGGACTGGATTTCCTTCATACATCTCAAAATAGGGTGATACATCGTGATATCAAAAGCTCAAACATTCTGCTGGATGAAAACTGGGAAAGTAAGATTTCAGATTTTGGGTTGTCCAAAATGGGGCCTGGAAATGAATCAGCTACTCATGTTAGTACACAAGTCAAAGGCACAATTGGGTACCTCGATCCTGAGTACTTCCAGACTAATAGATTGACATGGAAAGCTGATGTGTATGCTTTTGGAGTAGTACTATTTGAATTGCTCTCAGGAAGACCTGCAGTCGATATGGGCCTGCCTGAGGAGCAGCATGGACTTGTAGCATGGGCCAAGCAATGCATCAGGGAAGGAGAAGTTAATAAGCTTATTGACCTGAATCTGGCAGGGCCTATCTCAGCAACTTGTTTGAAGGTGTTCGTAGGAATTGCAGAAAAATGCTTGGATGATAATCCATGTGAACGGCCTCCAATGTCTAAAGTGGTGAAAAGTCTGGAATTAGCATTAGTATTTCAGCAGAGTGCAGGTGAAGGCATCATTTCATTTGATGACACATCAACATCTCTGTCAAAGGCTGAAGCAGAAAGGGCATCCATCAAAGAGGGTTGTAATGGCATTGATATAGCAAAAAGGAGTGTCATTTCACGGAGATGGTGGGATTTTTTTGGTCTTTTTCCAAAAACACCACCAAAGCCAATAGCTTTACCAACACCGCCACAAGTACTTTACCACTTCCCCCTCAATGAGATGCTAAAGGCTACAAAAGATTTCAATGAGAGCCTGAAAATAGGTTTTCTAGGATCGGACAATGCATACGTTGGCTTCATAAATGGTCGACGTGTTGCCATCAGACGTTCACACACTGCAGAGTCAAGACTTCACATGGTTAGTGAGTTGCAAGCTAAAAGAGAAATGAGTCCCTTGCCTAGCCACATCAACATGGTGTCACTGATTGGGTTTTGCAGAAATGTTACAGAGATGATCCTTGTGTATGATTATGCAGCTAGAGGGACCCTACATGATTATCTCCGTGACCCTGATAGGAATCCTCTCTCATGGAAGAAGAGGCTTGAGATCTGCATTGGTGCTGCAGAGGGTTTGAACTATCTTCGGTCCATACTGAAGATAACAGTTCTCCATTGCATTTTCAACTCCTCCTATATTTTTTTGGATGAGAATTTGGTAGCCAAAGTTTCAGAAGTTAGCTGGTCAAAAACAAAAGGGATCAATACAGCGGGGGTAATTCATGAAGGGGGATATTTGGATTCAGACTACTTACGAGATAAAAGTGTGACAGAAAAATCATACGCATACTCATTTGGCTTGGTGTTATTTGAGATGCTATGTGCCAATGAAGCATTGAAACATTGGCTGAATCAGGGACAGGTCAGTCTAGCCAAATGGATTAAAACATGTTTTATGACTGTGACGTCCCATTCGATTCACCCATGCTTGGTTGGAAGAATATCACCTGACTGCTTTGAGCTGTTTGTAGATACTGCAATTAACTGCCTGCACGATGAGGGCAACAAACGTCCATCAATGAATGATATAATCACAAGTCTCAAGGAAGCACTCAAGCTGCAAGAGGCAGCTAATATTACATAGGAACTGTTGTTTTAGTACTAATAATGTCTTTCAGATTTTGTGCTGTACCAATTGAAAATAATGCATGTTTTTCTCATTTCACTCTTAAGGTCAGGGGTGTTGTTGTGCGGGTGGGGGATGTTGATATCAGAAAATACATATATAAAGACTGAGAAGGTGCATAACAACAAGTGCATCCAACTAGCTAAAGCAATAGTTTAGGTAGAACCAATTAGTTATTGTTATGATGATTTACAGCAAATTACGCGGTCGTTTCATTCACATGAGATAGATTCTTCCCAGAAAAGCAGGATTATACAAAGCAGGATAGGTACCAGGTAGCTAGACAAGCTTCTTGCTTTGAGCTTCATAGTCCCACATTGCCTCGTATGTTTATTGGCTGAGACTATCAATGTTTTTGATATCCCGGCAATGAATTCGCTTCTACGTGCGTATGCTATGACCATCTTCTCCAAGTATTCCACCATATGAAACAACCACTAACTTTAGGTTTCCTTTGTACATGATTTCATTTGAATTCTTAAAGCATAAACATGATAATTTCATAACTTGTTAAATTATCAAAACTTTGCCATTTTGTTGTACAAATTTATCAAATTAGCAAATTATAGTTTATAAATAAGTTATCTAAATATACTAAGGCGACGGATTAATATATCACATACTTTCTTATTGCTTTTATAAATAAATATTTGCAATTACATGTTATTATGATTTTTCAAATACACATAATTTTACAAAAATTCACTGGTCGAATAAATCAATATAATAGTAACTAAAAACTCTTTGATAAAATTCTACCACATGGTACAACAATCTTTTCACATTGAGAATGAGTCTCTTTTTGTAAAATATAAATTTATGGGTCAAATTTTTATGTTAAAAATAATATTTAGAAGAGCAACTTTCAAATATAGCAAACACAAAATTCATATTTGTATGTTATAGCAAAGTTTTCATAATTGCGCTCCATAGCAAACATATATATGTATAATTCGCTATACATATACAAAAAAACAGTTGTATAATCTGCTTTGGTATACATATACAAAAAGATCAATTGTATAAAGTGAGAGAGGCGAGTGAGCGAGCGAGATCTGGGAGAGTGGCGAGCGAGATCTGGGAGAGGGGAGCGAGGGGAACGAAACTATATGTATATATACAATTTTCACGCATTTTATACATTTGCTTTTTTGTATAAAGTGAGAGAGGCGAGTGAGAGAGCAAGATCTGGGAGAGTGGCGAGCGAGATCTGGGAGAGGGGAGAGATGGGAACGAAAATATATGTATATATACAATTTTCTCTCGCTTTATACAAACACAAATGCATTTTATACAATTTGCGTTTTTTGTATAAAGTGAGAGAGACGAGTGAGAGAGCGAGATCTGGGAGAAGGGAGAGAGGGGAAGAAAATATATGTATATATACAATTTTCTCTCGCTTTATACAAACACAAACGCACTTTATACACTTGCGTTTGTATAAAAAACGAGAGAGGCGAGGGAGAGAATGAGAGTGGCGAGCGAGATTCACCAGGAGAGAGGTGAAATAGCAACAGTTTGTTATGAGGTACAATTAAATCAAACTATATTTATAGCATTTAATTTGAATTAATAGTTTGCTATTATATACAATTTTCCCTATTTAGAATCACACTTCTGTTAATTAGACCACTATTCAATCCGTGGAGGAAACCTCAACAACAATAGCCTGAATTTCTTTTCCATCACTTCCACCAAATATTTTTTGGGAAGGAAACAATGTTTTCTCTAGCAACAATGATTTATAATTCATTACATACAGGATAATATGACCATCAAGAATCAGAACAGACCAAGCTATGCAAGATTGGAAGTTGAAGTAGATCTGGTGGGCGAGTTTCCAATGCGCATCAACATAGGATGAAACAACAAAATGGAGAGATAGTTGAGAAGTGTATCTGAATCAAGTTGACAATGTCCCAAATATTGTGAAACATGTATGATTTAGAGACATAACTAGGAGGAATGTTATGTTGAACACCCACAGCTATATCCGAAGGACACGGAAGAACAAAACTTCAAGAGGAGATACCACAAAAACAATGTAGTAGCAACAGAGAAACATATACAAATGAGAAAGGATGTGGAGAAGGATGATAGTGTGGAGGAGAATATTCATCAAATCAACAAAGATGGGGACTTTGTGCCCTAGACACATACATAACCTGAAGAGTAGGATCAGAAAAGGCAAATCTGTGATCCCTCTTCAGGTTAGAACAAGGAGCAGTAAAGATAAGACCCAATCCATTGATCAATGATTGCAAAAAAAAATCATATTCTAGAATTTTATGTCTGTTAACTCTCAGAATTCTTTTGAGAGACTAATAGAACTACATAGAAGGCATCATTACTGATTTATAGCAGTCATGAAACCTTTCCAGGATCCACAGGAGCTATAGTAATATAGAAGGAAATGGGGACACAAATATGCTCCGATAAACAATTCTGCCAAGATTTGGATTTTCTAGACAAAGGAATGAGTTTCAACCATGGAGGATGTCATTGATGAGTGGTAGATTTACACATATTTGTGACCTACTTAGTTCAACAATTAGTGTCATCAATGCCTAATTATGTTCTATTCTAATGATATTTTCATGATTTGCAGCTATGTAGGCTAAGGGACAAGGCAAGAATGAATACTTGAAAGAAAGGCCAAAAACATGGAAAGAACTGTAAACTCCACCCACACTGTTGATCGCCTAACCAAAAGGGCGGATCGTCCAACTGGCACGATCTCGCCTAAAGTGACAGTACTCACAGTTGAAAATTTTAACAATATTGTAGCTTCTTCATATTGTAAAAAGTAGTATCATATTCACTCTGCTCTTCTAAGGAGTGGATAGGCCCGGTTCCTTGGATTAGAAGGAGAAGCATGGTCCTTGGATCTTTCATTGGTAACTTCAATCTGTTCTAGTTTCTCCACTATTTCCTTCATCGATGGTCTGCTTTTAGGTTCATTTCCAAGACATGATAGTGCCAGTTGTGCTATTTGTACTGCAGCTCTGGATGGATATTTTCCTCCCAGCCGTGAATCGATTCTGTCCTTCAACTTCCTTCTGTCAGATAAATGAGGCTTAATCCAGTCAATTAGATTATGCTGGTTGCTTGGACGGTTTAAGTCTATTACTCGTAGACCTGTTAGCATTTCCACTAAAAAGACACCAAAAGCATAGACATCGCTCTTCAAGTACAAAAATCCTGTAGAAAACAAATAATACACTTGACTATATGTTTAAACTTGTAAGCACAAGATGCATGTGATTCAAGAGAAGTAGAATTTCCAAGTGCAGAAGCCCAACAGACTCCAAGTTTACCTGTTGCAATATACTCAGGAGCAGCATAACCGTACGTTCCAAGTATCTGTGTTGTCACATGTGATTGACTAGCCGAAATACCTTGTTTTGCAATGCCAAAATCTGCTATCTTCGCATTGTAAGACTGAAACATTAAAGAAATAAAGAATGTCATGGAACAGTTATATTAATAACAACCTTTCTCTAATGTTTTCACTGTTATACGTCAGGTGTTGTCTCTCTGTGATAAATAGGTCCAAAACTTTAGGCAAAACAGTGTGTGTAAACCAAAAAGGGACCCAGTAAGAAAAGGGCTTGTGATACCTTTATTACTTGCGCTAATAAAGGTATATTCCTAGGGAGAAGTAAAGAGAACATACGCCATCAAGTAATATATTTGAGGCTTTGAAGTCTCTGTAAATGACTTGCTTTTCTGATGCATGTAGGAATGCCAAGCCTCGAGCTGCGCCAATCATAATTTGAACCCTTACATTCCATGTAAGTGACAAAGCAACAGAGTGCCCTAAGCAAACAAAGATAACAAATATGTTTAGGTGGAGCATGAAGTAGCTAGGCACATTCCTTGCTGCTTTGATCTACAATATGTTATATATTATTGACGGAACGTATAGATAATCTCTTACTTCCAAAAAGATGGTTGTTCAAGCTGCCCTTTGGCATAAACTCATAGACAAGCAGTAGTTTTTTATCTTCCTGGCAGTAACCCAAGAGTTTGATGAGGTTAGGATGAGAAAGTCTTCCAAGAATGCTCACCTCAGACTGCATAATTAACAAATGAAATGAAATTTGCAAGAGATATATAACCAACATTTACCTAGAATGTGTTACTACTAAGTAATAAATCAATTTCAAGTGCTTCTACGTAAATCTATATTTCTCGCAGACAGACAATAAAGAAGAGAGCAATTGCAGCATCATTAAAATTTAGCAAGCTAGTGCCAGGCATAAACTAGAAATAGCTTCAATTAGAAAACTTAAACTAGAAGTTCACATATTTAGCACAGAGGAATCACCTGCCACTCTTGAAATCTTTCAGAACTCAATTGCTTAACAGCAATTACTGTCCGGCCACTCTTGGAAGAAAGCGACTCAGCAAGGTAACCCTTGTAAACTTTACCAAAACCACCTTCTCCCAGCACCGTGTCATTGCTAAATTTTCTGGTGGCGGCCTTGAGTTCAGAGAAAGAAAATATCCTTAAATTTGGGTGCTGTGATATTTGGCTATCTGGATAAACAAAATTCCCTGGCTTTGGTGGTGCTTTTCTGAAATGGCTACGAACATCCCACCATCTTGGTGAAGCAGTGTAGGGACTTTTATCCTCAGATTTTACCTTTTCCCTTGAGATGGCACTCCTTTCTGTTGTATCACCGCCATTACAATCCTCTTTAATGGATGCCCTCTCTCCTTCAATCTGTAACTGAGATGACGTTGATGTGTCATCAAATGAAATGATACCTTCACCTTCGTTCTTCTGAAATACTAATGCTAATTCCAGGCTTTTCATCACTTCAGACATCGCAGGCCGTTCTTGCGGACGACCATCGAAGCATTTAGCAGAAATTCCTATAAACGCCTTTAGACAAGTTGATGAGATGGACCCCAACAGATTCTGATCAATAAGCTTATTAATTTCTCCTTCCTTGATGCATTGTTTGGCCCATGCTACAAGTCCATGTTGTTCCTCAGTCAGGCTCATATCGACTGCAGGTCTTCCTGAGAGC